CCTCACTGTCCTCACTGCCCTCACTGTCCCTCACTATAGCTCACTGCTCTCACTGCACCTCACTGTCCTCACTACAGCTCACTGCCCTCACAGTCCTCACTGTCCTCACTGTCCCTCACTGCCCTCCCTGTCCTCACTGTCCCTCACTGTCCTCACTGTCCCTCACTGCCCTCCCTGTCCTCACTGTCCCTCACTGTCCTCACTGCCCTCCCTGTCCTCACTGTCCTCACTGTCCTCACTGTCCTCACTGCACCTCACTGCCTTCACTGTCCTCCCTGTCCTCTCTGCACTCACTGCCCTCACTACAGCTCACTGCTGCGACTCATTGTCCAAGAAGCTGTGTTCTGAACCATGCCAAGCTCTGTGCTTGCTGACCAGGACAGAGCATACCAGTGTTTTTCACAATTGCTCCCAAGAAGACCTGCTTTGATGCTAATGTTGGCTCCAGGTACCACCACCACTGCCATGCTGTGGAACTGCTCTCTGGATTCCTGTCAGCCTAACACACTCACACACACACACACACTCTCTCTCTCTGTAACACACACACACACACACACACACCATTCCCCAGCAAGTCAGCCCTCGAAGTCAGGCACCTCCTCCTCCTGCTCTGCCTCCTGTCTGTCTCACAGGTGTTTCCTTGAGCAAATCCTTCTTCGTCTTGGTGTCTGCTTCTGGGAGGATGGGAAGCATGGGAGGCGCTCCCCACAAGCACAGATTTTCCTCGAGGTAACCTCCAACCGAGGGTGTTTTCTATACAGGAGTCATCTGTCTTCTGAAGTCGCCAGACAATGCTTCCCTTTTTGGCTGCCAAGAGAGTCACAGCACCCACGAACACCAGCTCGAGTCAAGGGGCTGCGGCCTCTCTTCTTCCTCAGATTCCTTTAGAAGGATTTAGGCTATGTATACAAATGCCACAGGTGGTGGCTCCAGCTGAACCTGTAAGGCCAAGGTCTCCTGTGCCCTGGTGGTCACCAGACAGCCAGATCCGTGGCTGAGGTGGGCACATTATCCGGAGGGGAACCGCTGCTTTCCTCCCAGCTCTCGATTGTCCCCATGACACACTTGTCCAGGCCCAACTCTTAGCTTCCCCAGCCTGAGGGCATGCAGGAGGTGGCATCCATGCTACCCACCCAGGCACCCAGCTGAGCGGGGCCACAGGAGGTCACAGACCCGGAAGACTGCCCCACCCTGCCCCATCTAACCATCTCCAACTTGATGAAGGTTTAATGAGCTAATGCAAGGTGGATTGTTAGTACATTAACGTTTTGTCTTCCTTCCTTCCCTCCTTCCTTCCCTCCTTCCTTCCTTCCTTCCCTCCTTCCTTTCCTCCTTCCTTCCTTCCCTCCTTCCTTCCCTCCCTCCCTCC